ACGCGGGTCGATCGTGGGACGATAGTTCCTCGGTCGGCCGGTACGCGTAGTTGGAACGCGGTTACTCGGTTTAAGCCGTCTGACCAGTTTTCACTAATTTGATCATAACTCCGTTTCTACTCATCCAATTGATGTGAATCCACTTGCGTTGGAGAGTTAACTCACCCAGGGCACGCAGGGAACCGGTCTTGATGAAATCTATTGAGTAGATTATTTTTCAGGCCTTCTCAAAGTTGATACTTCGGTATGGAGCAGGTTGAAGTGCAAATCTTGTGGTTTTGCTCCAAAATGCATCATTTCACCTGTTTAGACTCTTAGTGATATAAATCCAATAAAACTACATTTTTAAAAAGAAAACCTGCTAAAAACCATTAGAAAACCATACTAAAACAGTATAAAAAGTATGTAAAATAGAGGTATATCAACTCCCCCAGACTTAGATCTTTGCTTGTCCTCAAGCAAACATAATCTAAATCCGTGAAAGAGGTTTGAAAATGTGGAAACTCCCTTGCCTCTTTGAAAATCATGTGAAAGGTTCCTTTCCTGTATTCCACTAAGAACATAGGCAACATAAGGTCAGCTTCACATACACCCTGCGAATTCTTTTGCTTGTTCCTTGTTTGATAAGGTATTCCATAAGACATGAAGGTACAGACATATGCATTCCTCATGCTTACTTGTTTTCCTTGTTGAGCTTTTTCTCATAATTTTACCATTTGGGATGGGAGAGAGAGGAGAACTGCTTTAAAGGTTAGACAAATCTTATTGAAAATCAAGCAAGGAACTGTCGACATGTATGCCAATCCCCTTGACAAGAGTTATTAAGATTGATTAAGGGTGAGGTTAACTCTAGATTGCTTGGTTACCTTAGAAATTTTGCTGAGCTAGCATGTCGATCCACTGTAAGAGCTTCTGTTAGGCTTGTGCCTTTAGCTGATGTCTGCTCTAGGGTCATGGATTGTTAGCACAACACTCTCAATTCTCAAAGCAAGTTCATAACTTCCGGACTGGTTTTTGACTCAATAAAACAAAAACATGAAACAAAGTAATAAAACATAAGAAAAGAAAGAAAAATGCATTAGTAACACAATAAAACTCCCCCCAGACTTAACTTGCACCGTCCCGGTGAAAGCAAATCACATTAAGGTGAGAGGTAATATTCAAAGTAAAAGAAATAAAAAGAAATTCATTAAAATGAGATAGGGATAGAAAATGGAGATTTGTAAGTGTCCATTGCACTAAGTACCACTTGAGATGACTATGTGTGGCAGGTGAGAAGAACTCTCTTCCTCTCTATGGGGTCATCGCCTTCTGAACCAAGCTCTGAGTCTAGTGAGAACTCACCAAGGTCAGGCTCATATGGCTCTCTAGCGGTGGAAGAAGGGCGAAAGAGTCTCTCCGGTGCAATGAACTACACGAACTAGGCGTGAGATGAAGCGAGATTGGCACTCCACATCTTCTCCAGCTTGCTCACACGGTCTAGAGCTTGGTTCGCCATGCCAGTGGTGAGAACATGGCGTTCTTGGTGGCGGCGTTGAGCTTGACTGTGCGCTGAAGTGTGCGATAGGTGAGGATGGGGAATGATGGTTTCTCACTTGATGGAACATAGAAGTCTTCCTCCTTGGGCTGGAAAGTGACAACACCTGAGCGTAGGCTTGGGATATCTTCATGTGGCAGCAAGACAAGCGAAGTGTTGGTTGGTCCAATTGGAAACTCATAGCAAAACTTGGTTGGGTTTTGAGTCCAACGGTTTAGGAAGTGGATTTGCTGAAGGCATGGAGATCCAAAGGGATTGGCTTGGGTAGTGGCTCATAGTTGGGAATGTCAATCCCCACATGTTGACTATGGCTGTATGAGTCTCCCAAAACGAACACAAAGCTTCTTGTTGCCTTCCAAGTCTTGAGCTAGATTCCTCACATTGATAAGTGTCTTGGCAAACAAAAGACCAAGGTTGGCCTTGTACTCATGCTTGATGAATGGTGTGGTGAGGATGTAGAACTCATCAGTTGTGACCTTGTTGGCTTCTTGTTTGCATTGAAAGTGGTGGAGATGAGGCGGTGCACATAGCGAATGGCTGGATGAGTGATTCTAGACACCTTTGATCTTGAAGGCAAGAATGGTTCATTGGCAAAGTGTGTCCAATCAGCAAAGGCAGCTTGTTTCCTCTTTGAGTTCTCCTTGAAGTCATGTGCTGTCTCATTGGGAAGTCCAAAGAGTTGGCATAGAGCTGAGATGAGATGCGCCCATTGGCATCGCCTATCTTGAAGAGTAGGAGTCCATCACCAGCTGGTTGGTCTCCATTGTTGTTGGGAAAGGCAAGAGCTACTGTGGAGAGGAACTCCTTGTAGTGAGTACTCACTACACTCTAGCTTGAAGAGCTTGCTCAAGCCTAGCTTCCTTAGATACCATGTGACATCATCTCTTATCTTGAGAAGGTCAAGGGTTGGGTGTCCATCTTCACACAAGGTTCATGTTCACCTTCTCCATTGCCTTCTTGTACTTTCTTGGGTCTTGGATTTGTTCTCCAACAAAGTTACAAGTGCCCAATCATCTTCTCCTCTTTGGACTCTCCACATGTTCTTGATTGCATCAATGGAATGTGGTGAGTTGGTATTGCTGCTCTTGCATTGGAGCTACTACTCCCTAGCTTGATTTGTTTCTTGGTGGTTGCATGAATGGATCTTTCTTCTTCATGGCTTCACTTCCTTTTGTCCTTGCCATTGGGTACCTACAAGAGCAAATTCTTGGGAAGAGACATGAGTTTGTGATTAAATGCATAAGAAAGACAAGCAAATTTGAGAAGTTATAATGATTTGATTGAATGAAACAACTCAAAGCTTTACTAAGACTATGTTGGTACCCCACGTTATGCCGCGGTATAATTTTGTTGTATTTTTTCGTGTTTTAAAAGATTAAGTTATATTATAAAAATTATAAATTCATTTTTTATCCAATTTTTGTTATATTATTTTTATATTATGCAAAAACGGTTTTTTTTATTAATGTGTAATAACAAGTTTGCGGGGAAGATCGAGAGCTACGCTGCAAGAATTTTATATTTACTTTTTTATATTTATAGTTTTGTACTTGATTTTGAAAATAATTTACCCCAATTTTTTTGTTTAATAACCTTTATACGTTAGTTTGTATGATACATATAATATAAATCTAAACTTTATTTATCCAAAAGCTTTTAATTACTCTAGAGCTTTTGATTATCCAAGAGTTTTTGATTATCCGAGAGATTTTGATCACCCGCCCGAGAGCTTTTGATTACCCGCAAGTTTTTGATTATCCGAAAACTTTTGATTACCCGTAAGCTTTTGATTATCGGAAAGCTTTTGATTACCTGAGAGTGACTTCGCACGTAACAATAAAGTAAGAACTAATTAGTATATACCTAGTTGTGCGTATAATGTAATATAATTATAGTTTTATAAATTAATTCAATTTTTATATTATTTAGTTAAAAAATGAATTTTCCAAGTTTTTTGTTTATTAATACTGTAAGAAAAAGGGTGGCATAGTAAGATATACCTCTATAGGACAATTTTGTATGATAGATCATCAAACCGATATATAAAATACAAGTCTTAATTTTTAATTACCCGCGAGTTTTTGATTACCCGAGAATAACTTCACACAAAAGAGTAAGCTATATTTGCTAATTTTAATGTCAAATTTAGTTTTTATAAAAAGAACCTTAATTTATGACTATTTAGTTAGATTTTTTTTTGGAATAGTTTTTACTATATTCTGATATATGTATATTATTTATATTTTATTTTATCATAAAATATCTGTAAAATTAAGAATTGTAACCATACCATTGTTACTTTTAAATATTTTTTCTGTTTAGATTTATGAAAACAAATTTAATAAATTTGAAAACAAAAAATATGTCTTTTTTCGAGTTACTCTTAATATATCTTCAAAAATATATAGTTTTATGCTCTTTTTAATTTTCTTTGTCTAACCTTTTTTATTTTTATTTTGTAATCAGCTTTGTGATATTGTCCATCCTTTACGATTTTATTTCTCTTACCATTTCCCTTCAAGTCTTCAACATATGCTATATTTCAGAATTATCATTCACTCATTCTGTATGCTTTTATTTCTCTTACCATTTCCCTTGAACATATGCTATATTTTAGAATTATCAAACATTTCAAATCTATAAGATGAAATTTGTTCCCGAAGAGTTGTTTCCCAATTTGGAAACATTTGCGTTTAGGTTAAGTTGGAAAGAGATTAATATCTTTTTTACTGTTTCACTCAAATCCAGATATATAAGTCTTCAATATCATCACGGCTATGAATAAACAATGATCTGAATTTGGGTTTTGTTTTACTCTTTTTCATTTGCTTTCTTTTTCACCCGCGGGAGTTTTTTTAATCATAATCATTCCATTTACTTATGATTATTTAACCAGTTGGAAACTACATGAAACATTACGTATATTGAATATCAGAAAAACCTTGCACGAATAGGAAAAGTCAGACAAATGTTTGTATTGGTCACTGGTTTCACTCAAATATTGAGAAACCACCTCTCTGTATAATGTTAAATGGACTTTCCAGAGATAATATAGAGAATAGAAGCTAAGCGACTCTATTAAACAGAGCCATGCACTCTCTCTGTCTGTCAAGTGTCAACAACAACACTCTCAATCTTCTAGGCTTCTTCTTGCATAGAACCTGATGCAGATCCCTATGTCAAGGCTTGAAAAGGAGTTCTTGCAGATTCTTTCTTCTAATAGAGACCAGCTTGATCCTGAATCAGTCTCTGCTCATTCCTCAATCTCCAGCAATTCAGAATTCAAAGATGTTATGCAATCATCTTCTTCCGATGATGATGATGAGAAGAAGAAGGCTGGTGAGTCAATCAATCAGGTTGAGAAAGCCTCAGCTGTGGTGATATCAGACTTAAAAGTCATAGTAGAGACTATGATCAGCAAAGAGTGTATAAAAAGCTATAAGTTGAAGAAAGTCAATTGTAGACGAAGGCTTACACTTGCTTGGATCGAGAAGTTCAAGATTTCACGGTTTAACAGAATCGATTGGGGAATGCTCGAGATTATGATCAAGAAGTGGATCTAGAACGTGAGTTACATCTTCTTGATAAAGTCTTGCCATTCCAAAATCAGCAATCTTGGGAACCCATTTCTCATCAAGCAGAATGTTGCCAGCTTTAATATCTTTGTGAATGATACAGTTTGGTGCGTCTTCATGGAGGTAGAGAAGTCCTCTTGCAATGCCTGTTATGATCTCAAACCTCTGCTTCCAATCAATTTCTGCTTTTCTGTTGGATTCTGCATTCAAAACGAAGCAAAACCACTCGGTCAAAAACCAGATTCGAAACCACCAAATTAGTAACAATGAGAAGAAGAAGAAGGACTTACTGAAGAGGACCTTGTCGAGGCTCCCATTAGCGACGTATTCATAGACCAAGAGCTTATCATCTCCGTGTGTGCAATAACCCCAGAGATTAACCACATTCCGATGCTGGACTTTAGCTAACAACTTAACCTCGTTTACAAACTCGTTTTTCCCTTGCCTTGAGCCTTGAGCCTGAGCCTGAGCCTTGAGCCTTGAGCTAGCTTCTTCACTGCTATCTCTCTCCCATCATGTAACCTTCCCTATTTTACACACCAATCAAATCTCATCAGCCCAAAACCAACGAAAGCCACACACACTACGCTAATCATCTCCAGCTAAAGGAGGAAACTTTTATCGAATTGGGATTTGTTACCTTGAAGACGGGACCGAATCCACCTTCGCCGAGTTTGTGGGTGGGGTGGAAATCTTTGGCGGCGGAAACCAGGACTTGAATGGGAAAACTTTCTGCTCGAGAGCAGCTATTTTCTCGATATCGTCTTCGAGACCTTTTAAAGTCAAACGAAAAAGGAAGAAGAAGATGTTGTGACCTGTGAGTCGATTTGAACAAAATTGCAAACCCTAAGGATGAGAACTTGAAAATCAAAATAGGATTTTTACCTCGATTGGAGCTGCGTTTGAAGGGTTTAATGATGTTCTGGAAGAAATTCATGGACTTTGTCATGCGAATGGATTTGACTTTGGAGAAGAAGAAGAACAAACTCTCGTGGAAGAAGAAAACCGCAGCATAACCGGATAATGAATCAAAATAAATAAAGCGAACCGGATGAAAAACGTGAAACCTAAACCGACTAAGTTGCTGACTGTGATTAATTAAAATATTTATATTGGTTGATGGTTTATTAAAATGTTTCAGTTTAGAAGATTTTAAAAAATCAATGTGTCCTTACCTGGAGAGAAATAAGGGATTTTGTTGTGTGATTAAAGAAACAAATTGAAATTTCACTTTTCAAAATTAATTTCGGATTTTACTGTTCATCCCAAGATTATAGTGCACAAAATCAGAAAAATTAGCAAATCAAGAGAAATTTAGTTTATAATCCACGTATTCAAGAGATAAACTAATGAATTGAAGAATGACTAAACAATTTTAAGTTTTGAATCAAAGGTTTGGAATACCCAATAAGTTTTGTGAAAAACTATTCAATTATGAAATTAAACTCTAGAATTTCTTTAAACCACCTAGGTTCCACTTAGCTAAGTTCAATACAAGACTCATAAGGATGATAATTTTAAGTTTAGACAAGAATCTAAGCTGAACAAGAGATTATTGTGATTTTCGATCTTGCAAAATAAAGAGATTTAGAGTTCATACATTGTGTGTTGAAAAGTGAAGAGGGAAGAAAAAGTAAGCAAATCCCAAGTTTTAAATTATGAACAATACATTTTTTGAAAACAAAGCTTTTAGATATCCTTTAATGGAGTTTAGGGTTTTAGAGAAGAAAGAGAGATTTGTGTTCTTTGAAGAAGAAAAGGTAAAATAATAAAGTTCAAAGTCCAATTACAAATCCTTTTCAAGTTCGAATTTGGCCAGAAAATCGGTTAAATTCGGTTAAAACCGGTATGAATCACGAGAGTTTGGTCGATGGCCGAGGGATTGTGTCGCGATTGTTCGGCACCGTCGGCGGATTCTCGTTCGAATGTAAAGTCTGGCCGAGGGAAAGCGATTACTTCCCGGATCGACCGGTACGGTCGGTCCGTCCGCGTTTCGTCTTGGCCGAGCGTGGTCCATTGCCTCCCTATCCGTACGCGATAGTAAAGTCCAGCCGAGCAATGCACGTCGTCCCCGGGTCGTGCGTTCCACTCGGCCCGGTTAGAATTTTCACGGCCAGCCGATACACTGCGCATCCGTGGCCGGTGTTTTCGACCCGGATTGTGTCTTTTCACACTTTTTCTCCTTCTATCCTATCTGAAAACAAAGATAACAAGAAAACAAAACTAAACTTAAGAAATTTAAAGAACGAAAAACAATACTTCATGGGTTGCCTCCCATGCATCGCTTGTTTAAAGTCTTTAGCTTGACTGTAATGCCTCAGTGCTCAAGAGAAGATGGAGATTAGAGGAATTTTTGATCCTCCAAGTCCCTTCTCTTCCAAGTGAGTATCTGGTGGGTGATTCACAGCTGGATAGACAATCTCTCCATGAATGTATCTTGGTATAGTCGCCTTTGGAAAAAGTT